GCCTGAGAGGAGCTTGTCTTCACCCATCATCTTGGTACTTGTCCTTCCTGTAATTGCAGTTTGCTCTTGGACCTTCTTTTTGCCAGATTCAGCAAAGCCCAGCTGCCCCCACCAGTCCTCCTTGGTCATGTGCTCTAGGTCCAGTGTATGCCCACTGCTGCCCATCTTCTGTGGCACCAGGGCTGTAGTGCAGGGAGCCCTTTGGCACAGCTGGCATTCATTGGGCATGAAGATGAGCTCTTCCTCTACCTCAGTATATTTGCTTACTGCCATTGCTTAAGATACCAGATGCAGGTTCATCAGCATTACTGTGCAAACTGCCACCCTATCCCATGGACTTTTAAATGTCAGCTGACATCTGAGGGCCACGTTTTCAGTCCTGGGAGTTTTATCCAGGCTGTCATTGAAGCCTGTAACGACACCAATCTAAATTTTAAGTTGCAGAGCAGTGATTCATGCCCCTGAGATGTGAGCTTTGTTACCAGAGCCACAAACCCTGTGATTACTTAGCACCGTCGGAGAGATTCAGTGATTGGGGTTGCTGCTTGGACAGGTTTTGGCCCAGGAATCATCGAGGTGGTAAAACTTAATGTGTTCCCTTTCAAGTAGCTGTGTCCTTTACAGCTGTGTCAACTTTTTTGAACTTTTGGCAGTTAACAAATTCCCTCTAGAGCTGGGTGAACTCCAACAGCAGCTCCTTGCCTCTTGTCATCCCAGAGAATCACTAGTGAAGAACCAGTATTGATTAAGAAGGTTCTGTGTCTGTTTCAGGGTTCTGACTGCTCCCCATCACGATCACTATAAGGAATATGCTTCAGTCCCCATCTTTTTATTAGGGACAGATGCCACAGCCCACACCCTTAACTCCAGGCACCCCCCAGCATGAGCTCACAAGGACAGAAGTGCCGGCATGCTCCCTGACAGTGCCGTGAACTCATCTCAGGGACTGCCCTCAGGCACTGGGAGCTATTGATCTTATTCTTATGTTGTATGGAAGTAGGGAATTTTACAATAGTTATTTCCCAGGGCCAAGAAAGAAAAGAGACTACTAGATGAATGAGGAATTGGCCTGATGGCTGCATCCAGAGAGTTACAGTCAGTGGCTCAATGTCCAAATTGGAACCAGTAACGAGTGGTGTCCCTCAAGAGTCCATTTTGGGACCAATACTATTAAATATCTTAATCAACAACATACTTGGTGGGATTGAGTGTACCCTGAGCAAGTTTGCACATGACACCAAGCTGAGTGGTGCAGTTGATACACTGGAGGGAAGGGATGCCATCCAGAGGGACCTTGAAAGGCTGGAGGAGTAGCCCCAAGTGAACCTCATGATGTTCAGCAAGGCCAAGTGCAAATTCCTGCACTTGGTTTGAGGCAGTCCCGGCTGTCAGTACAGACTGGGGGATGAAAGGATGGACAACAGCCCTGTGTAGAAAGACTTGGAGATACTGGTGAAAAAAAAAATTGGACATGAGCCAGCAATGTGCGCTCACAGCCCAGAGGCCAATAACCGTGTCCTGGGCTGCATCCAGAGCAGCGTGGGCAGCAGGTCCAGGGAGGGGATTCTGCCCCTCTGCTCCGCTCTCCTGACACCCCACCTGCAGTGCTGCCTCCAGTTCTGGGGCCACCAACATCAGAAGTACATGGACCTACTGGAGTGAGTCCAGAGGAGGCCATGAGGATGATGTGAGGGCTGGAGCACCTCTGCTATGAGGACAGACTGAGAGTTGGGGCTGTTCAGCCTGGAGAAGAGAAGGGTTCAGGGGGACCTTCTAGTGGCCTTCCAGTACCTGAAGGGGGTCCGTAAGAAAGATGGGGACAGACTTTACGAGGGCCTGTAGCAACAGGACAAGGGACAATGGTTTCAAACAGAAAGAGGGGAGGTTTAGATAGAATGCTCCATCCCTGGTAGTTTTCAAGGTCAGGTTGGATGCGGCTTTGAGCAACCTGATCCAGTAAACAGCAGGGGAGTTGGACTGAATGTTCTGTAAAGGTCCCTTTCAACCCAAACCATTCTATGAGTATATGATTTGGTTTCATTTTGTCAGTTAGAGACAGGAATTGCTTCATGTCTCTGAATTTCCAAGGTATAATGTAGTCCATCTCACTGAACTAGCTCTGTTTATAGTACTCTCTTCCATCCACACGTGCTGCTGAGATCTTACCTGGCTCTGTTAGGTTGCATGGCCTCCCAGGCTTAGCACAATGCCTTAGGAGCTTTAGGACTTAAGGCACTTTCTTAGTCTGCTCTCTCATAAGTATGCATGGTTCATAGAGATGTTGTGATGGTGAGGTCTGTGGTTTGTGGAGCTTTTCTTCCAACTTCCTGCTATATGGGAAGGTGTAATGATGGCTGCCCTTCACCTGAGCAGAAGCTTGTTCATACAGCCATGTTGCATAGGGCCAGTGCTACAGGGAGGTCTTCCTTTAGTGACCTGGAGCTCAAGATGATACCGAAAGTGCACATGATGTTTTGATAGAATAGAATCATAGAATGGTAGTGGTTGGAAAATA